CCCCCCCTACTTCCCTATAGGTTATTTACAGTGGCTGAGAGTCCCATAGGCTCTCGGCCGGGAACCTAGCCCCCTGATTGGAGCGGGCTAGGATCCGCATAGTTCATTGTCTCTTGGAGCGAAGCTCGACGTTTGTCTCTGGACTTGTCTGGACTGGATACATTGCAAATAGGATGCGCTCAGAAACCAAGGTAAAATATGGGTGCAGAAAGGGCCTCGGATTCTGCAGTATGAGAAATTTTAAAATCCATTTCAGCAACTGACATTGTGTAGCGTTCCTGCTTAATCCTGCCCTTAATCTAGGATTTCCAACATCCAGATGTGGCCTGGAGCTATTCCAGAGTGACAACTGGTCTCCAGACTACAACTCCCCTGAAGGAAATGCAGGATTTCTGGCCACCTGGTGGGAGCGAGGAATTCCCCCAGCTCCTGCTCCCCACTGCTCCAAGTGTCACATCCTTGGCTGAGCTCCCTCCCCGCCTGAGCACTGGCTACAAGTCTCCAGGAACATCCCAAGCTGAAGTTGGCAACCCAACTGTAGTCTAGGGTTGCCAACCTCCATGTACGGCCTGGAGATCTCCCAAAATTAAACTGCTATCTAGACTACAGAGATCAATTCCTAGGGTTGCCAGGCCACAACCAACAACCCCTGAGGGAAATTGGGAGGGAGGGCCTGGCAAGCTGGTGTCATACTGGCATATTAACATAACTTCCTGTAAAAACCAGAAGTGACATCATTAGAAAACGCTAGAATTTGCACACTTTGTAGAATTCATAAACTCTACACCGCCTACTAGTGGTTTTTACTGGAAGTGAAGTCAGTGCAAGCGGAGAACACACCATTTCTTCCTGCTGGCACCCCAGGCACCAGAAGGCAAAGCACAGGGATACCAGCCAGGAGGCCTCCGGCTATACTAGGAGGCGTGCTATCCCTATCGGTTCCTCCGGAGAGAATGCCTGCTTTGGGTGGTGTACTCTATGGCACTGTTACCTGCTGAGGTCCCTCCCTTCCCCAAACCCCACGTACTCTGGGCTCCACCCCCAGGTCTCCAGAGATTTCTCAACCCAGAGTTGGCAACCCTGCCCAGAGTTCCAAGTACTAGCCTTACCCACCCACCACCATGAATAGGGATGGTATCCTGGAAGCTTTGTCTATGACCCAGAGGTTGCAATCCTACGAACACTTTCCTGGGAGTAAGCACCACTGAATAAAATGGAACTTGGAAGAAGAAGAGAAGAGGTTGGATTTATACCCCGCCCTTCACTCAGAGTCAAGGGCGTAGACTTTCCAGTTTCCCGGGGAGGGGGGCTGGGGCTGGCCTCCTGGCCAATAGCAGCCCACGAAGCATGGCAGTCTCAGACGGGGGTGGGTGGGGAGAGTCCTCTTGGTGCAGCTGCCCCTCCAGTCCTGGAGATGCCCGGCGCGGCCCCCTCCCAGGTTAGGCCTGCCTGCAGCCTCCCCCCCTTCCAGGTCTGCCAGATGGACTCAGGCATCCCTGCCTGGATGGATGGAGGGCCGCCAGGCCTGGAAACTGACCAGTCGCGCCTGCCCGCCCGCCCTCCTTCCCCGCAGCAGCCCAGCACCGGGAAGGGGGAGCGTGGCCATGCGTGGGTTTGGGACACGCACAGTTGGCGGCCAGCACTGTGCCTCGGGTAGGATGGTGGGAGCCGCCTTGCCACTGCTGAGGGTGAAGTGGCTTCTGGGCAGGGAGGGGTGGAGGACGGACGGACCCACGAGATTTGGCTCCGCGCCTCTGCCCTGTGCCCCAAGGCTGGCAAGGCCCAAGCGTCCCTGTGCTCCCCGCCCTGCCCGCTGCAGGTCCACGAGGTGAGGAGAGCACCCCCCCACTGGGCACCGTGCACAGAGGGTCTCCACACGCTCCCCACTGTTTGTGCCGCAAGACGCTAACAAGAGCCCCCCGGAGGCAAATCAGGCGCCCGGGAAGCCGCCCCACTGTTTGTGCCACTGCCTCGTCTGCTAAGCTTTGCCACATGGAGCTGAATGGGGCTGCGGACATCAGTCCTCCCAAAACTTTCAGGGAATGCTTGCGCCCCCCAGCCTCCCCCATAGATTACGCCCATGCTCAGAGTCTCAGAGCATCTTACAAACTCCTGTCCCCTCCCCTCCCCTCAACAGAGACCCTGTGAGGTAGGTGGGGCTGACTGATTTTTATCTTTTGTGTATTTAGGTTTTTTATCTATTTTGTGTATTTAGACTTGTATTGTGAGCCATATTATATAGCCATATTATATGAAAAGTGGGATCAAAATGCTACAAAGGATTTGTTGGTCTTAAAGGTGCCACTGGACTCTAAATTTGTTATAAAGGATTTAAGGAAGGCTACTGTCAGCTCAGTCCTGATAAAAACATGACTCTGTCTGACACCAGGAACTGGCATGAATATATTTTGATCAAATAGCCAGGGTTTTCTCTACACAGAACATGGTCAAACCTTTTTACGGAATTTGGAATTATATAGTACAATCCAGGGTCCTGTTAATGGTATACATTGTTCCCCTATCTAATTCAGAGTAGAAAGTTAGGACAGTTGTATTAAAGAATCCCCCCCCCATAATGGAGTGCCACTGATTCCTTTCTACTTCATTCTGATTAGACTTACTTGGCTCCAAGTTGTTGGATAACCATGCTCCTTATTTTACATTATTCAGTATGACAGAGCATTTTAAAGTCCCATAGGTATGAATGAGAGAAAGTATCTTTTTCTCTGGAATCAGTTGGACTTAAAAGTACTTTAACAAGGGTTGGACTGTACCCTTTACTATCAGTTTAATGTATTTTCCAGTCTACAGAGTGCTCTTACAGCAATCACAGAAGCTAGGTTACGTTGTATTGTTCAGGATTACTCAGTGACCTTCAGATGGGCTAACGGGCATTTTGAGTTGGGATCTCTCACATATGACATACCGACCTAACATATTACCCAGACTGCTGCTAATGTTTCTCTTCTCTGTTGCCTACAGTGTGGGTTTTTCAAGCGTAATTATAAAGAGAAGATGGACCATGAAGGTGAAACTGAGGCTGCGTTCCAAGCAGAAGGCAGCCTGGAGGATGATGAAGAAAAAGTCCCACAGAACGGAGAAGCAGAGAGCAAATAACCAGGGGTTGCTTCTACATTAGCCGTTTGGTCTGGAATGGACAATGGTTTGATCAAAGAATCCAGATGGCAGTGCTGGCAAACTGTTGCTGCCCCACATTTCCTGACTTTTTAAAAAATGTGACCTGTCGTGTTGGGTTTTTTTGGGTTTTTTTACATACTTCAATTTAACTGCAATGCCAGTTTGTCTACGGTGGACAGTGAAAACACCACTGAAAATCTTCAGGGCCCTTTAAATTCTGTTCCTTCCCTTCTGCTTCTGCCTTAATTCCTGTCCTTTCACTCATGACCAGGAAATCTGAGCTGTGGGTTAATGATTCTTGTGAGGTGGGCATGTGTGAATCATTGCTTTTCTCTTTGCAGTTAAAGCCATTGTTTTTTTAAATATATATATATATGGTTGTAATCGTACTACAGTAAGAAATAAGAGTGCAGTGTCTTTGACTGCAAAGACCCCCCTTCCTCCCAAATAATGGATAATAATAAGAATAATACTTTCGATTTATTAATCGCTCTTTCCCACACACCTGCGGGCTCAGAGCAATTTTACAGTTACTCTTTTGACAGTTGGACTAACAATGTTTGTGGGGATAGGGAAGACAACATACAGCATTTTAATTACACACACATTACAGCTAGCCGGGGCTTCATCTGCGGGCTGGATCAGTCGTGTTCCGACGGCATATATTCTTGTTGGCTGGCTGATGGTGTCAGGACTTCTTGATGTTGTGCTGCCACACTGCCACCGCCTGGCCGACTCGCTCCACTGCAGGGCAGCCGAAACAGCTCTTTCATCTTTCCAATCTCGCCGCGCCTCAGAAGTCACACTCGGCAGCTAACACCTTCCCAAGGGGAGTGGTGTGCCCACCCCCTTACGGGTGGTCCCCAATTTATCTACTCGCCGAAGCTTTCGAATCGCTGGGTAGACGATGAGCTAGGACAAGGCTTGGTTGCTCACACCACGGGGCTAGAATTGCCAAAGCTTGGCAGTTCAGATGTTATCGTTAAGCAGGGGGGAAAATCCCCTGTGCCACCGCTCCCTGGTTCAGGAATGCTGCAGCTGAACTGGAAGTAATTAATTAGGTGTAAAAACAAAGTAATTAGTTTGGTGTAGAACAACAGAAAATTGGCGGAAGAAGTGGGAGTTTTGCTGATTGTGGCTTTTGAATAAAAACATGCCACGCTTGCACTTTCCTGGGGCCTGAGGGCACAGCCATGATTTTAGGCTTCTGCCTACTCACTGCCCATGTCCTGTTCCCACCAGGGCACACAGACTAACCTCACTGGCTGTTTGTATAAATAAAGGTGTTGTCTCATAACTCTCCCCTAATCTGATCGCCCAGACTAGCCCAGTCCCGTCAGATCTTGGAAGCTAAGTAGGGTTGGCCTTGGCTAGTATTTGGATAGGCGACTTCCAAGGAATACCAGGGTCTTGATGCAGATGCACGCAATGGCAAATTACCTCTGAAAGGTCTCTTGCCTAAAAAACCAAAAGTCTAGCTTGCCATCTAGTGGTGCATAATGCTAAAGAGCTAGAACTTTTGGCTGCCAGACAATCTTAGGATCTCCTGGCTATACCACACAATGCCACATGGTAATTAATTAATTCACCCCCAGGGGTCATTCCTGGTCTCCTGGCACTGGATAGATACTCTGTCCAGTGTACAGAGCACCCCACAATCCTCCTGCCTTCCTTCCATCTGTGGCAGTGGAAGGAATATCAAAGGCTTTGCCTCACGTTTGTCCTAGCCAGGGAGTCTGTTTGGCTTTTGGGTTGTTACCCAGCTGCCCCTGGAGTCACTCGGCTCCTCCTTTTTCAACAGGCCTCTGTCTGGCCTGGCTTTGGACGTGACACCACTTTTGGTGCCAGCCAGTGCCAGGAGCTGCTCCAGTAGCCCTGGAAAAAGTCCTGCAGGGGATGTTCCTTAATACAATAGGGTTTTTTATCGAGAGCATAGAGTGCTGTAAAATGTGATCTTTCAGCTGATTGTAGAAGAGGAACGGCTGAACCATGCAAAAGTGTCCTGGCGTGGAAGCAGCCCCTAACAGTTTCCCTCCCCCAGACCACAGTCAAGATACGTGACCTAAATATTGGCAGGAGGACTTCTCCAGCATGGCAAGTGAGGACTTTTACTCAGTTCTCTTATACATACTCCTTGTTGCAGAAAACAGGATTGTCCATGCATTTATTTCTAGAGTTACCTCTGCTCTCCTGGAGCAGTCCCTCTTTTAGGGTTGCCAGGTCCCCTCTGGCCATCAGAGGGGGGTGGGGGGTAGGGTTGTCAGGTCCAGCTTGGGGAACTCCTGGCGATTTAGGGATGGAACCCAGGGAGGACAGGGACCTCAGTGGGGTACATTGCTATAGACTCCACCAATGTTCCCTTCTAAGCTGTGGAGTCCTGTGAGCAAAAATTCTCCTTTGTGAGCTACTGGCATTAAAGTTGCGAGCGAGCCATTTGGCTGCTGCATAAATGAGTCTGCTCTGGAGCCCTCCTTCCTGAGTGGAGACAAAAATGTGTGAGCCGCAGGCTAAAGAACTGTGAGCTGGCTCACACCAACTCAGCTTAAAGGGAACACTGGACTCCACCCTCCAAAGCATCCATTTTCTCCAAGAGAACCCCCTGTAGTCTAGAGATGAGCTGTAATTCTGGGAGATACCCAGGTCCCACCTGGAGGATGGCATCCCTAACCCGTTTACTGAATCATTTGAATCAGAAGATGCCACAGGCACCATGTGAGAAGGAGGGGGGTGGGAACAGGAGTGGAAAGTGGTGGCCTAATGCATTTGTGTGCCTCTGCTGCCTCCTGGAGGAAATGACAGGCACTGCTCTGTACATACAGATTATAACAGTGGTACTCGCTCCACAGCTTGTGGAGAGCCCCATCTGCAATTATGACCAACCCAAAGGGCCACATCGCTATGTACCACCCCACCAAACATCCACGTACAATAGTGTAAGATAACAGCTATTAATAATTAAACATATAACCTTTTAAATTGCCAAACTACTACTGAGCATGTATAGTAGTCTCTCTTCACTGTTGAGCCTTAGTTCGGTAAACAGGACTCAGCCTGAAAGGGATCTGTGCCGTTCAGCCTCTTGCCTAAAAGTAGATAAATTTTGCAATTCAAATTTGATCAGTTTGGAACAGTACATTTACATTTACCTGTTCTAAAATATTTCCTTGAAATCAGGGCTTTTGTAGAAAAATCCCAGCAGGAACCCATTAGCACAATAGACCACACCTAACAGCAGAAACTCATTAGCATATTAGGCCACACCCCTGACAACACAGCTCATTAGCATACTAGGCCGTACCCCCATGTTACCAGAAGTGTGGCCATCCAGCCACACCCACCTTTTGCTTCTTATTCTGTTTATCTTGTTTATTGTCAAAACCCAGGGCCTTTTTTGTAGCAGGAACTCCTTTGCATGTTAGGCCACTCACCCCGAATGTAGCCAATCCTAATGAGTTTCTGCTGTTGGACATGGCCTATTATGCTAATGAGTTCCTGCTGGGTGTGGCCAACTCTGGAGCCAGCCGGAACTCCGTTCCTGTGCGTTCCTGCCCAAAAATAGCCCTGCTTGAAATATGTGTTAGGAATTGTTTTAACCTTCTGCAATGTCCCCCTAAAATGTTTTTTTTAAACTTGAACAGCATAATCAAATTATGTTTTGTGCCTGCCAGAACATAATTTCCCCCCCTAAGGTCCCAAGAGTAAGAGACAGTGTGGAAAGATGAAATGTAGCTAATTTAGTAGCTAAGTTCATACAAAGGGGGCCAGCTGCAGACTCCATAGCACAATTAGACAGGCTGCTTCAGTTATAATGAGTCGAAATTATTTGGGCAGGCAGGAGCCTCAGCCTTTGACTTAGTTCTGTGATTTTCTGCTTCCAGGCCAGTGAATTTTGATTGGCTGTCTGAGTTTAAACTGACATTTGTAAGTGTACAGTAATTCTGCTCGCAAAAACGGACATACTGTGCCCGGAGTCCCCAGATAACATCCATAAACACATTCTGAAATACTGTTAAGTCTGGTCCAGATAGTGAAGAACTGAGGGCACGAGTGGAATCAAAAAGAGCATTTATTAGTTCATAAGAGGGAGACATGGATAAAAGCAGAGAATCCAGAGTGTTACAAAAATAACTACACTTGGGGGTAGGTCCGGAGCATGCAAGGGAGTTTAAAAAGCAGTTCTAGGTAAATACTGGAATTTTACATATTGCCCCAGATTCCTCTGGGCTCCTAAATAATAAAACAGTAACTGTGAAAATAAAACAGTGCTATTTTATTTTATTTTTTGCTCAGAAAGCACCTTTGAGCCACTGATTTCAGCGCTTTCGGCCTGAGGCAGAGCATCCTTCCTATCCAATCAAGTCTGGGAACGAAGCAAAACTTGCTCACAGAGGAGGGGAAAGGCCACCCACCTCTTTACAAAAAAGGCACCTGCCTCAGAGGGGGACCCCGTGGTCTGTCTCCAGCAGGACACGGGGTGCATCCCCACAGAGGCTTTCCTCTGCCCCGACTCCCAAACTGCAGCGGGGATTCTATGTTTTTGTTTTTTGAGAGCAACCACGCAACCTCCTATTCCATATCCTACTGTCACTGTCCCCTCTCCAGGCTGTCGTCTGCATGTTTTTACTCAAACCTGGACTGGCATGTTCTTTCTAGAAAGAGCACGGTCCAAGCACATTCGCAAGCCACCTAGATGGGGACGTGTGCCTTTTTGACAGTCCTATGCACTCCAACACCATTTTCCTTCCGTCAGCCTCTGGGGACTGCCATTTCCCCCAGCGTGACGACAGGCGGTAAAAAGAGAAAGGAACCAGTAATTGCTATTACACCATTGCACAATAGTGTTATAACACTGTTACAGCCCACTGCCACAGTTTACTAGTTCCCCTGAATCCCCAGCTTTCAAAAAGTAAGTCTTTAGTAGAGCATGGCAAAAGATCGTTATATGCTAATGCACTACAGTTCAATAGCAAGGAACAATTTTTAAAAACCTTCTAAAAGCCTTCCCGTCGCGTCCGTGTGTGTAAAGTGCCATCACGTCACAGCCGACTTACGGCGACCCCGTAGGGTTATCAAGGCAAGAGACATTCAGAGAGTGGTTTGCTGTTGCCTTCCCTCTGCATAGCAACCCTGGATTTCATTGGTGGCCTCCCATCAAAATCATAACCAGGGTGACCCTGCTTAGCCTCTGAGAGCTGACGAGATCAGGCTAGCCTGGGAAATCCAGTTTGCAAAACGGGGGGTGGGGTGGGAGGGGATGGAGAAAAACCAGCAGCTCACTACAGAAAGTACACAAAACGCTCCCATGTGGATGCTCCATTGCCAATGCAAATACATCTGCATGTCGGGGCAGCAATACAAAGGAAACATAGTCCTTCCTGTGTGGATGCAGCCATGTTTTGTGTTGAGGAATGTGGCACACCACGTACGTACTGAAAGGTAAAATTTAAAAACAGCCTGTATAAAGTCAGCCGATCTGGAATTCATTTGATCAGCAAAATGGCACAAGACTTGCGACAAGACAGGGAGTTGGATCATCCTAAAGCTCGACCATGAGGCAGCCATTTGATGCCACCCAGCACAGGCATGCGGGTACGGGGGCGAGGAGCCTTTTTCAAGTGGAAGGCAAACCCCACACACACAAAAGCTCCCACAAATACAAGTATGGCCGTGTGGACTGCAGAACCTCCAAGACCACTTTGTGTCACCGGACCTTTGATATTTCTGCCCACTTCCAAGTCGATGACTTTCTGGTTTTTGGGGACCATACGTGCTTCCTAGGTGACCCATTCGTGTACTCTTGTCCACTAAAACCCCACCGATTATTCCACAATCTCTTCCTCCTCCTCCTCACCCGGGCAGCCCTGACTCCAGCTCTCCCCTCCCAAGCTGTCCTCTTCATCTCCCTGCCAACGATGTCTCTCGCCATCCTCCCCACTGTCCTGCCACTCTCGCTCCACGCTTGCCGCCTGCCGCCTGCTGTTCTCCTCTGCGGCGCACGCACCCCACTCTTCCCTTGTTCCCTGGCCTGCGTCACCCTGCCACTCGCGCGCCGCGCTCTCCTCCCGACACAATTGCCTGGAGTTCTGACCACCCCCGTCCCGCAAACCCTCCTCCATGCTATCGTCGTCGTCGTCCTGACATTCCAGCCTCACACCCTCGGGACCCTCCTCCTGCAGACCCTCCTCTGCTTTCTCGTCATCGTCCTCCTGACACTCCAGCCTCATGCTGCTGGTGCCATCGTCCTGCGAGCTCCGCTCCACACTCTCGTCCCCCCGCCACTGTGCCCTCATGGCCTGACCCACCGTGCACTCCCAACCGTGCCCCTCGCTCTCCCCGCCGCCATCCAGCAATCGCTTCTCTACGCTTTCGTCGGCATCTTCGTGCCAATCGGGCCTCTCGGCCTCATCCCCCTCGTCCTCCCATTCCTGCCTCGGGCTCTCTTCCTCCCGCCACTCCCGCTCCATGAGCCTTATGCCGTTGCCTTGCCACATGCCATCCTCGCCTCCTTCCACTCCCTGCTCCCCGACACCTTCCATCCCTCCGGCTTCCCACCCCTCCACCAAAGCCAGTGCCTCGCCTCTCCTCACGTGGGCCCGCCTGTGCTGAGAAAGTGCTGACTTCTGGCCAAAGCCCCTCCCACAGTAAGGGCAACGGAAGGGCTTTTCACCGGTGTGGGTGGCTTGGTGCTGGAGGAGAGCAGAGCTGCGCACAAAGCCTTTCCCGCAGTCGGCGCAGGAGTAGGGTTTTTGGCCGGCATGGATGCGCTGGTGTATGTGATAGGTGGAGCTGACGCTGAAGCTCTTCCCACACTGACTGCAGCAGTAGGGCCGCTCGCCCGTGTGCGTGCGCTGGTGTTGCAAGAGTGCCGAGCTTACGCCAAACCCTTTCCCGCACTCGTCGCACTTGAAGGGTTTCTGGCCTCTGTGCACTCGCTGGTGCTGCTGGAGGTTGGAGCTCTGGTTGAACCCCTTCCCGCAGTCCGGGCAGCGGAAGGGCCGCTCGCTCATGTGGATCCTCTGGTGGCGGATCAGGTGGGAACTCTCGGCAAAGTGCTTCCCACACTCGGGGCAGCCGAAGGGCCGCTCGCCGGTGTGGGCGCGGAGGTGGCGGACCAGGTCGGCCCGGAGGCGGAACGTCTTGGTACATTCCCCGCAGGAAAATGGCCGTTCTCCGGAGTGGAAGCGCTTGTGCTGGGTGACCTTGGAGCTCTGCGAGAAGCATTTCCCACAGATGGAGCAGACGTAGGGCTTCTCGCCCGTGTGGATCCGCTTGTGCTGGATGAGATCGGAGCTGTGGCTGAAGCTCCGCCCACATTCAGGACAGGTGAAAGGGCGCTCACCTGTGTGTGTCCGCTGGTGGATGATGAGGTTGGAACTCTGCGAGAAGCCCTTGCCGCAGTGAGTACAGCGGTACGGCTTCTCTCCCGTGTGGGAGCGCATATGCTGGACCAGGTGGGAGTCCTGGCGGTAGCTCTTGTCACAGTGGGGGCATTTATAAGGCTTCTCGCCTGTGTGGACACGACGGTGCCGAACCAGGTGAGAACTGTTGCTAAAGCTTTTTCCACAGTCAGGACAAATGGTGGCTTTGGGTATCTTGTCACTGTCAGAAAGGTTGTCAATAGCGTCTTGCTCCACAATGACTACAGATTCACCATTACTGGCCTCATATTGAGTGATTTCTACTGGATGACCTTCTGCAGTGATTTCCTTCTCTGGAGAGTGTTCTGCCTGCATCTCAGCTCTTCTGTGAATCTCCACATCTTCTTTCCATAATGGTCCCACCCCTTCGTCATTATTATTATCCTTCACTTCGAACAACTCTGTGGAAACAGCCATATCACAGATTTTATCTCTCTGCTGCAAACTAAATTCATACCTTTAGATCATACATGGAATACCGGGAAAGCAGTCTATATTAAAAACAACAAAAATATGAATACATTCAGAAGGAAATGAACCCTGAACCAGATCCACCTCTACTTCAAACATTGCAAGATAAAGCTGATCGTAAAGGCAAATATTGTTACCAGAAGAAAACTGACTGCTATTATTTTTCCAAGCTAAACTCTATTTATTTATCATTACTAGGAAATTACACAAATGTGAATAAGAAGAACATTACAAGAGAATGGCAATCTATTCTCTTCTGGTGTTTTTATTAAAACACTGACTCCCAGTGTCAGTACCAAGATATTACTATTTCCTCTACATCTAGAAATTTTTCTGCAAGATTTGAAAGGAATGAGAATTCAGCTTTCAAAGAATATCATAAGTAGTCACCTGGGTGCAGAACTTAGCTTTCTTCAATTATTCAACTTTTTAATCCAGTAGGAATAATGATTTATTATATCTTGACTGAACATCTACTTCATTTTAGTTTTGTTCTCAATCAACAATACATCTACAATTTGTTGTGGGAGAAAAAGACAGAATGCAAGACTCTCTTTCACCAGGAAAACAACAAAAGAGATCTATGTAGTCAATAAGTAATCTTTCTCTACAAATTGAGAGGAGGTTGATGAAATATTTGAGATTGCCACAAAAAGACTAGATTAATCTAAAAACTGACTTTGGCTGTGGATAAATGAAAATTTGGGAGGGGGCTAGGTTCTGAACAGGGAGATGAGTTGGGAATCTGTCCTACATTCTCTCCTTTTTGAATATCTAAAGACAGACAGAGAAAAATACTGGATTTCCTGAGGCCAGCTAAATGGCGTGTGACAGTGATGAGACTTGAAACAGATTTCTTGGTTCATAGCTGTTGGTTTGTTACTCATATCCTATGCAGAGTTAGTCAGTCGATGCTCACTAAAATCAAAGATCTTATAGAGCAACTCGGCACTGGATTGCAATTAGTCTATATGTCATGCTGTTTCCCCGCATTCCTCACCTGTTACAGTCTCTCCTTCGCTGGAGTCCTGGAGATCCAAGACACATTTTTCTTTCCCACTTTCCATATGGGAGGTCACAGCCCTGTTGTGTTAGCACCAGGGACTCCTGACTGTGAAGGGGAAAACAGATTCACATATGATGAAAGCATATAGATCTTTTTCATTTGAACATTTGTAACATATCAGAAGGATAACTCTATGCCAGTAGCCTCCACAGACCTACAAGAAAGAACTTCTGATATGGTACCCACAGTCCAGAAGTCCACAAACCATCTTCACCTGCTACATCAAGTCTTAAACATCACCTTAAGAACATAAGAGAAGCCAATGTTGGATCAGGCCAATGGCCCAACCAGTCCAACTCTGTCACACAGTGGCCAAAAATACCAGGTGCCATCAGGAGGTCCAGCAGTGGGGCCAGGACACTAGAAGCCCGTCCACTCTTGCCCCCCCCCCAAGCACCAAGAATACAGAGCACCCATTGCCCCAGACTGAGAGTTCCTATCTATACCTTGTGACTAATAGCCACTGATGGACCTTTGCTCCATATGTTTATCTAATTCCCTCTTGAAGCCGCCCATGCTTGTAGCTGCCACCACCTCCTGTGGCAGCGAATTCCATGTGTTAATCACTCTTTGGGTGAAGAAGCACTTCCTTTTATCTGTTCTAACCCAACTGCTCAGTAATTTCATTGAGTGCCCATGAGTTCTTGTATTGTGAGAAAGGGAGAAAAGTACCTCTTTCTCTACCTGCTGTATCCCATGCATAATCTTATAAACCTCGATCATGTCACCCCTCAGCCGTCATTTCTCCAAGCTAAAGAGCCCCAAGCGTTTGAACCTTTCTTCACAGGGAAAGTGTTCCAATCCTTTTATCAGTCTAGTTGCCCTTTTCTGCACTTTTCCCTATGCTATAATATCCTTTTTGAAGTGTGGTGACCAAAACTATACACAGTACTCCAAATGAGGTCGCACCATCGATCTAAATAGGGGCATTATGATACTGGCTGATTTGTTTTCAATTCCCTTCCTAATAATTGCCAGCATAGTGTTGGCCTTTTTTATTGCAGTCGCACACTGTCTCGACATTTTCAGTGAGTTATCTACTACGACTCCCAAGATCTCTCTCTTGGTCAGTCTCTGCCAGTTCGGACCCCATCAACATGTATTTATAGTTAGGATTTTTTGCTCCAATGTGCATCACTTTGCACTTGGCCACATTGAACCCCATTTGCCACGGTAACGCCCACTCGTACATCCTCGACAGATCCCTTTGGAGTGCCTCACAATCCTCCCTGGTTCTCACCACCCTGAACAACTTTGTGTCATCTGCAAATTTAGCCACTTCACTGCTTACTCCCAACTCCAAATCATTAATAAACCAGTTAAAAAGCATCGGACTAAGTACTAATCCCTGTGGTACTCCACTGCTTACCACCCTCCACTGAGAAAATTGCCTGTTTATACTCACTCTGTTTCCTATTAATTAGCCAGTTTTTGATCCACAAAAGGACTTGTCCTTTTATCCCGTGACTATGGAGCTTGCTTAGGAGCCTTTGATGAGGAACTTTATCAAAAGCTTTCTGGAAGTCAAGCTAAACAACATCTATTGGGTCCCCCTTGTCCACATGTTCGTTCACTCCCTCAAAGAACACTAACCTTGCACAAATCCAGAGTACTGCTCTCTATATAATAAACCTGTATTCCTATAGAACATGGCCGTACAGTACTAGACACAGCACCATCCAACAGTGGTTTTTTTGTTTTAAAGATTCCAAACCAAGCTAACTCCATAGGAACCATCACTTCGGCCACACTGCTGTAATGAACCGGGGGTAGTTTGCACCATATTAATAAAACTGCAATGTTTTGCACTCCCAGGCTGGAAGGCAGCCTTCCTTCCTAACTTCCCCCTCCCTGATTTTTTTTGCATTCCTACCATGGTGACAGTTTCCTGACTCCACTGCAGTTTTGGCTTCCCACTCCCTTTTCACAGCGCCATTCCCCTCCATCTCCCCCCTCCTCCTGCCCAAGAAGAAGCTGCTCCTGCAGCCACGTCAAACCTTGCCGTTCGCCGTTGTCTCCCTGGCGCGTCGGCTGCTGGCTTTGTTTTCATTAAAGAGTGGGCATGGTGGGGATGCTGCTGGGTGCCTGGCCGTGGAGATCCGCTTGCAACAGGAAGGTCCCTTCATGATTAAGACCCTTCCACAACTGCACTTCCTTCTAAGTCCTTTCTAGGACGCCGCAGCTGTGCAAACTCTACGATTTTAACTCAGTCGTTTCCCTCACCCTGGAACGGCCATATGACCCTAGTTTGCAGGGACACGATCCCTTGTTCTCCTGCACTGCAACCCAATTCACTGTAACTTTTTATTTCAAGCAGCGGTGACGAAATCTTTTCCTTGCCTTTGACATTTTATCCTGGTAATCCTCCCACAAGTGCTTGTTTTAGCATGCTCAATGGGTTTTAGAAGGGCATGACCCCGTCCAGAATTGTACTCTTAATCTGATGTTACTAGCACGACTCGTAATGTAACAAGTGTCAAGCCGCAAGCAAAGAATGACAGACCGGACCGCAACTAGGCTGGAGGGTGTGGGTGCGGTTCAGTTTAGAGAGGGAGCGAGATCCCGTTTCGATGGTGGCCCTGAATCTCACTGCTAGAGCCCGCCGCGATCCAGTCATTACATATCCCCGTCCCTTTCCCTCTAGATCAGCTCTGCATTTTTCATGCTGAATATTAATTTTAATTAACGGTGCAACCCTGAACAGAGGCACACCCTTCCAAGCGCACCGACTTTGACAGATTTCGAAGGGCGTAACGCCCTTTAGGACTGCTGTTATAATTATTCTAATATTCCGAGTATTTCCGTATTATTTGCGCCGGCGGAGCAGGGTGCAATTTTCGTTCAGACTAGGGGTGGAAGGAATAGAAAGCTTCCCGGTTTCCACGGCGGCGGTTACGGATTCTTATTGTTTCCGTTTGGGTCTGGGTAAAAGTCGGGTATAAATGGATCCTCATGGATTCATATGATTTTTACACTGAAACGAAATAAAGCCACCATCATATTGTAGGCCATGTGTTAGTCTACAGGGGGCACCCAGAGATTCGTGGCGCCACAGCAGCACAAACACATGATTCCAAAGGACGGATCCTCGTGAATTCATATGATTTCTATGCTGGAATGAAATAAAACCTACATCATACTGTAGACCATGTCTTAGACTATAGGCAGCACTCCAAAAATCATGCCCCCATGAATTCGTGGCTCCACAAAACTGCAAAAACATGGTTCCAAAGCACGGATCCTCATGGATCCTCAGGGTTTTTCAATTGGGTCACCCGAAACACACCATCAAATCACATAACATGTCGACGGCCACAGCTTGCACCACAAAAATCACAGATCCACGGCTTTGTGGTGACACCATTCTGTAAAAACATGATTTTGAAGCACGGATCCTCATGGATGCTTGGTTTTTTTGTGTTGGGACACCCCAAACATACCATGAAATCCCATATCATGGCCATGGCCACAGCCCGCACCACAGAAATCACGGTGCTACGGCTCTGTGGCAACTCCATGCTGCAAAAACATGGTTTTGAAGCACGGATCCCCATGGACCCTTATGATTTTTGCATTGTGTCACCCCAACATCACCATCAAATAATATGCCTTGTCCATGGCCACAGAATGCACCACAGAAATCATATGTCCACTGCTCCGTGGCGACCCCATTCTGCAAAAAAATGGTTCCAAAGCACGGATCTTGGTGGATCCTCACGGTTTTTCAATTGGGTCACCCCAAACACACCATGAAATCACATAGCACATCCCCGGCCACAACTTGCACCACAAAAATCACAGATCCACAGCTTCGTGGTGAATCCATTCTGCAAAAACATGATTCTAGAGCACGGATCCTTATGGATCCTTGGGGATTTTGTGTTGGGACATCCCAAACATACCATTAAATCCCATATCAT